GTGAGGTGGGTCACGTTGAAGAGGGAGGTCACCTGCGCAGGGGGGGGGGGAAGATGGACGGTCAAATGGGCAGAAAAAGGGGCGTCGAAATGGCTCTGCAAATGGCTCTCCATATGACTCTCAATTTTTGTTCCCCCACCACACGCAAAGACGCACCTTGAGCGGGTACTCTACCGACCCGTGGTAGTCCTCCGCGAGGTCCAGCTCCTGCACACACTTGAAGTCGTGGATGCTGCGCGGAAAAAAGGGAAAAGAGGGGGGGGCGGCGCAAATATCGCTACAACGCGTTTGCATCATGCGTGCAGATTGTTCTGCTATGCACATATAATTGTTTTTGTTTAAAGTCACTCCCTTCTTCTAAAAAAAAAAAAAAAAAAAAAAAATGAAGAGAGTTACTTCTCAAAGTCGATGTCCTCCCTGTTGGAGTAAATTTTGATCTTCTTCGGGTGGCTTCCTTCCTCCCCTCCAATGAGGAACAGACTGACGATCTGAGGAGCGTGCAGCGGGGTTCACATATGAATGGTATGTCGTTCACATATTAATGGTATGCCGTTCACAAATGGATAGTGTGCGGTTCGCGAATTGATGCTAGTCACATTGGGGACGCTCCGTCGCTTCCAGATTTGCACGCACAGCTCCTCTCGCATATAAGCATCCTGTACCTTGCACGGGCTAGTAAAAGGAATGTTAATAATCTAATGAGGGGAGGAAAATGGGAGGGAGATACAAATGAGACATGTTAAAAATGGGGGAGGTGGAGAGCAAAATCAGGTGTCGACTTGCTGCTCAGACGAGGCCATACCAACTCATGGTCCGCGTCACTCTCGCAGCATGCGGGGGACAGTCTCTCGTCGTATATCTTCAGAATTTTCCTGCAAGATCCAGGGACCTTCAAACGGCCAACAAGGGGGAAACGGTGTGCCGCACGGGTGGTGATGATATTGTGGTGGTGTGGTGACGGCGTCGCTAACATATCAACATGGTGTGCAGCCCATGCGCAGCCGATCTGCACACACACACACCCCTGCCAAAGAGTTACCTTCTCATTCAGCGCAGTAACCTTTTCCACGTCCATATATTTGAGGAGGAACTCCCCACCCCTCAACACCTCGTCCGCGTGCTTACACCCGCATCCCTCGTGGTGCGAAATTGGCATTGTAGGGGAGGTTTGGGTTCAAACTGTGCTCTGAATTTTTTTGTTTTGCCCAAATGGGGGCACAGTCATTCCTCTATCAGCAGCGAGAGAGAGAGAGAGATTTTCCAATTTTATATATTTTCTGCGGAGGTGAAAAATGGCAAAGAGCACTTTCATCACACCCCTCTACAAAACACTGTATTTAAAAAAAAAAAAGAAAATCACTACGAATGGTTAGTGTGGCACAAAAAAAAAAAAAAAAAAAAAAAAAAAAA